GCGGCCTCAGCTTGCCCGCCACCCTACTAGAAACTTGCCTTTGGCTGGCCCCCTGCCGATTTTACTGAAAGGCGAAAGTGAAGCAAACGGAATCCTTAGAAATAGCCCACAGTTTTCTTCCTTTGGGGATTTTAACATATGGTTCATTTTTAAATGTTTGCCCCTTTGGGGCAGTGGTATTTTTTTAGTGCTTGGTTCAGCGAGTGACGTAAACTTGTCTTCTCCGGGATTCTAATTTTCACAGCTGCTTTGCTCCCCCTGTGGACATGATCCCTTAGCTGGCATTTTGCATCCCAGTTTTGTGATGGAGGCGCCTTTGGGGATTCAGGTGGATGAACCTATGGCTTTTTCTCCCCTGTGTGACCGGTTACAGGCGGATGGCTCCTTAAAAAAATATGAGCAGAATTTTAAACTACCAGGTATGTGTGTAATTTCAAAGATGTACAGGCAACAGTTTCTGTAATTTCAATTCTTTAAACACACAACTTCCTGAATCGTAAGGTGAGTTGTATGTATAAATAAAAACATTTTTACAGATCGGTAAAGCTTCCTAAGATCTAGATTTAGGACTGCAGTGCATATTAGAAGAAGGATTGTAGTCCAACGGTGTCATTTTGCACATGAAGTTGCATCTAAATATTAGTGATTGTCTAAGAACACAAAGCTTGTTCATACCCAAACTAGAAATTCTCTTCTCCTAGACCTATGTTCTTATTGTCTACACTCCATATTACATTAAGCTTGGATTTCAGAATTGACATAGAGGGATTTTCAGTTAAGTATTCAAAAGCAGTATTCAGTGACAACAAGAAATGAAATGTTTGTAGCAGTAATAAAGCACTATATCTCAGTGTATGTCATGAAACGTTATTTGACCCTAACCCAGACCTTGAAGTGAGGAGGAGTAACAATTTGTGATCTTATACAAATGTGGACCTCCATTCCAGCTCTAGTACAGTGCCTGGGCACAGTAGATACTCTATTAATTAATATTTGTTAAATAGAGGAGTTCCAGTTAACTATTTTTTCCCCTAAATAGTAGCTAAATTTTCTTTTCCATCTTTGTCTTAAGCATATTTAGTGCTTGTCCAAAAGATAGTTTTGACTATTCATCCATGACATATACACTACAAAGTAGACTTTAACCCCATCCTAGAAAAGTATGACATCACATGCTTTAAAAAAAAAAAAAAATCAAGAGATTTTGAAATAGGGCTATTAAAAATATTTTTGTTTATTGATTTTGAGAGAAGAGAGAGAGAAACATCGATTTGTTGTTTCACTTATTTATGCATTCACTGGTTGCTGCTTGTATGTGTCCTGACCAGAGGTCGAACCCACAATCTGGGTGTTTGGGACGACGCTCTAACCAACTAAGCTATTCTGCCAGGGCTGACATCACATGCTTTTGATTTCTGACCCAAACTAAACTACCCTGTCAAAATCAGTACCTTTCCTAATGTCCCTATTTTTGGTGATAAACGCCACTATTACCCTATTTATTCTTAAAACTTTAGAGTTGTCTTCAACTTATGCTTTATATTTGCTTCCCATATCCAGTCTCCCAACTTTATCTTACTTTTTTTTAATGTGTGACATTACCTCTTCTTCCCATGCCCACTTCCAACACATTAATTCATTCCCTTATATTTTACTTTTGGATTATGACAGTTTCTTACCTAAACTGCTTGCTNTTTGCTTCCCATATCCAGTCTCCCAACTTTATCTTACTTTTTTTTAATGTCACACANCACTTCCAACACATTAATTCATTCCCTTATATTTTACTTTTGGATTATGACAGTTTCTTACCTAAACTGCTTGCTTTTACTTTTTTCTATCCTCCAGTGTATCTTATACACTGCTAATAAAATAATCTTAAAATGCCACTTTTATCTAGTTCTATGGATGCTGTCCCTCTTTTTTTTCTTTTTCTTTTTTTTGTAATTACCTGTTTTTCATGGTCCTTGATGTCATTGGACACATAATACAGTAATACAATCATTGTATTATTTTTCTTGTATTGTTTAGCACTCTGTGTATTTTGTCTCTTCAATTATACTATGAGCTCCTTGAAGGCAGTATCTCATATAGCTCCTAATATGTTGTACATCAGGCGGAATGTATAAATAAGTGAATCTGACTTGATTCTAGCATTATGTTCAGGTGAAAGCTACTATTTTAATATTCTTCTGAAAATCTGGGAAATAAAGAGGGGAACAAATTTTATTCTAAATTTCTAAAGTTTTGTGGCTTTTCTGTAACAGAACATTGAATATTATAAACAGTACCTTTGATAATTTATAGGACATGTTGAAATGTTTTTCATATGGTTCTTTTTTATATGACCCTGAATAAAAGCTAAGGTTATTTCAAAAACATAACTTCAGTAAGGAGAGTAAAGCTGATGGGGTCCAGGCACATAACTGTCTCATGATCTAATGTGATTTACTTTCCCTTGATGGAATTACTTTTGAATGATGGGACATTCTTTGTATGTTTATATTCCCAGAACCTAACAGTGTCCAGAACATAGTAGATGCTTGGAAATATTGAATAAATGGTTTAATGCAAGGATATAAAGTAAAATACTTAGTGTAATGGGTCAATAGCATGGTCCTTTATTTGGGGATATTTATCAGCTTATTTTTCAATTATAGTTGACGTACAATATTATCTTCGGTTCATCGTATAACAGTGATTAGATGTTTATGTAACTTATGAAGTGAATATCCCGGTGAGTCTAGTACCCATCTAATACCTTAATTCTGTATGCTGTACTTTACATTCCCGTGACTGTTTTCATAACTAGCAATTTGTACTTCTTAATTCCTTCGCCTTTTTCACCCAACCTCCAATGCCCCTCCCATCTGGCAACCATCAATTTGTTCTCTGGAGATACATTAAAAAAACAAAAAACTAAATTGGGATCATAGCAAACTTATTTTTAATCTCCATTTTTTACTTAGCAATGTATCTTGAACATTTTGTGTGTAACTAAATATTCTACAGCTTGATTTAAGATGATTGCGTAATGTTTCACTGCATGGTATGTTATAATTTATTTAATTGCGTTGTCTTATTGAACCACTGGATTTTTTTTCTAATTAGAAAAATGCTGCAATGAATAAAGTACCTGGCATAGTATTGGGCCAGTGTTTATTCTTTCTTTCAGCAAGCCTTAAAAAAATTTATTTTCCAAATTTAGCAAGTGATAAAGATCTATTCAGTGAAAGAATGAACTATAACATATATATATAGGGTGGGGCAAAAGGAGGTATACAGTTGTGAGTACACAAAACACAATTTATTCTTGTATTATTATTTACTAATTATTGTATTATTTTCTATACGAACAACTGTAAACCTACTTTCGCCCCACCGTGTGTGCTTGTGTGTGTGTGTGTGTGTGTGTGTGTATGTAATGTCTCCTTCATACTTTTGAACTGTACTGGAAGGCTTGCTTATATGGATGCTCTTAGCCTACAATTCTAAAATGGGTTATAGGTACCATCTTGGTTTGCCTGGGACAGATTTAGTTTATGCTGCTTGTTACAGTATTATTATCAGTTCCCGTCTTACTCTCAAGAGTGTCTCAGTTTGGTCTAAATTATATGATCTCCCTAGTTATAGAAAGTGTAAACCAGGCAGTACAGGAAGCCCCAGAATAAGCATGATAAAGATTCTTGGAGTGTCAATTTTTTCCATTTTAAGTAATTGAAAGCATTTCATTTATATGATGAATAATTATTAAATATCTGTTATGTGCAGGTACTTTTCTGGATACTAGGGATAAATTATGCATAAAACACAAAAATCAGTGCACTCAATCCAGTAGAAAGAGGTAGAAAATAAACAAAAGAAATAGAATGTTCAAAAGTGATTAGTGTTATGAAGAAAATATGGAAGGGAAGGGGAAATAGGAAGTATTGGGGAAAGAGATTGTGATTTTAATCAGTATGATAAGGCTTCAGTGGGGACATTTGAACTAAGACTTGAAGTTGGTGAAGGAGAGAGCTTTACAGTTATCTGGGGAAGAGCATTTCTGGCAGAGGAAGCAGCAAGCTGGAAGGCCCTCAGGTGGGAGTGTGCCTAGCATTTAGGAATAGCAAGGAGGTTATTGTGGCGAAGTGGGAGGGTGATTCGAAGTATGAGGAGGTAGTTCTTTGGGTTTTGTGTGGAGCAAGTATAGGCCAACAAGGGTGAAAGCAGGGAAAATAGTTAAGGAGGCTATTGCTATATTAAAGCCAACTTGACTATATTGTGAGGCAGAAAAACCAGAAGCCTAGACCTTCATTATAAAATATGGACGTTTAAATAATTTTTTTAGCTTGTGCACTTTTCAGGATCTTCCCCCAATCCTCAAAGTATATATATAATAAGGTCTCTGCCTTTATTAGTATTTTCTAGCATGACATGAATGTTTTCTTCTGCTGTCTGCTCTCATCTCCTTCAGAATTTGAGGATTTTTGCATTCACTTTGGTTGTTGGAAAGTTTTACCGTTATTGAAAAATGTCAAAGTTGTTCTGTAGTGACAGGAAACCTTAATATAAACATATTTAGCATTTTGTAAAGGTAGGTAAGTACATAGTGAGCAGTGGTATGGAAGTACATTAAGCTTACATAGTCATTTACATGGCTTGTGCATTACAGTGTTTTCTTATTACATCTATTTTCTTTCTGGTGATTTCTAACTGCTGACCAACATTGCTACTACTAATTGCCAGCTCATGCTTATACAAGGGAAAATTCCAAAATGTGGAACTCATGGGAAACTGTAGACTATTATAGCTAGAAAGTAAAGTTCATCTAATCCAAACCCTTTGTTTCACAGGTTAAGTACTGAGCACTATGTGGTTTAATGACAGGAGTTAAATCCAGATCTTTAGATTCCAGACTTTCTTCTATATCAGCACTGCCCAATGGAACTTTCTGTGATAATGGAAATGTTTCTGTGTTGTCACATGCGGCTAGTGTGACTGAGGAAATTAATCTTTTAAATTAAACTAATTTAATAGCCACATGAAACTAAGTAGTGGACAGTGGCAACTCTGTCATCCTACTACAAAGCTTTTGGTACTATTAATCATGTACACAATAACAAAACATGCACATAAGCACTTCAATACATTTAATAAAATGAATATTTCATCGTATCTAAACATTGAGTGTAAGATATACCATTTTATGCACTACTCAAATGCTGCCAGTTACACTATGATGCAATACTTTCTTATCACGTAGAATTTTTTCTTTTATACTTAGTGAAAGAGGTTTTTTAGATCTAATTAGACAAATAATTGTATATCTCTGGTATGTACTCAAAAAGGAAAATAAAGTTTTCAGATCTGTCTCTTGAGTCACTTTTTGTATACAGAGTTATTGATCCTCTATTTTCCCCCTCACCGTATTGTTCTCTATACATTACTGATACAGAATTTTTTTTGATGAATCCATTTTTTTAAAGCCATTGTTAAAATGGACCTTTAAGAGCCCAGTTATGTGGAGCTTGCCTACATTTGCTTTACCACCACCTCTCCTGCTCCTCCCTACCACCCACCATTTGGCACTCAAGGGTTAAAGATGAGTGCTTCTCTATGGTTTCTTGGATTTTCTTGGAGTCACTGACACTTATTTTGTTAGTTTTGATGCTAGCTGACAATTTAAGTTGCATCCCAGTTTCAGAGTTAAAATGTCTTAGAATCAAAGAAATGTCCTATCTAATGTCCTATCAAATTGAAAGACACCCATATGGTGCCTTTCCTGTGACACCAGTTTGGAACTGACACTCATTAGGAAAGATTCTAATGGACTGTGGCAACTATGACTGTTAAAAAACCCACTCCCCCTCCTCCCACCTTGGTTTGGTTTCTAGAGTCAAGTAGTGTAGTAGCTGACAGTGAGGTAGCTGCTACTGTCTTTAGTTTCACTCTTGCAACTTCTAAACTTTAGTTTGTTTGTTTTTTACAACTACCTTTGAATGGCCTTAATGATGGTAATAATTCATTCACTGAACAAAAGTGCCAGGCACTGTGCTAAGAGCTGAGTGTGCTGTAGTTCCCTACAGACAGGGAGCTTGTATCGATGGAACTTATATTCTAGTGGGAGGAGGGAGACAGTGAACAAATAATAAACAGGATAATTTTATAGTAGATAGGTATTTCGAAGACTATAAATAGGATGGTGTGAATAATGGGAGGGGTGCTAATTTAAATAGGATGATAGCGGAGACTGTGGCAGTTGAGCCAGTCAGGGAGTTGTAAGAGAAGAGGATTTCAAGCAGAGGGAATAGAATAAGAGCAGAAGCCCTAAAGACATAATAATTGCAACAATAAGAATTACCACTGTCATCATTTAGTATTTCCTGTGTGCCAGGCAGTGTGTTAAAAGCTTCTCTTACATTATGTATGTTATTTTACTTAATCCTCACAGTATCTCAGTGACATGGGTACTGTTACTATCCCCTTTTTTATAGATGGGGAAACTAAGGCTCACAGAGATAAGCCGTGTGCTCAAGGAGGGTCATACCAGCTGGTAAATAGTGGGGCCAGGATTTTAACTTAGGCCTCCCATCTCCAAACTGGTATTCTTAATTACTGCCTCTTATATTGAACTGATGAAGCTTCTCCAGTCTACCCGTGAAGTAGATGGGAAGGTGATTTCCTTAAATGGGCTGATAGAGTGGGAAGAATACTGAACTAACCTCTTACTTATTCTCCAGCTCTTAATGTTCTTCCTCCCCCTCAAATTACCTACGTGTCAGCTTCCTCCTTAAAAACTGTGTGGCTTTCATTTGCATTCTCTGCCTTTCCCTTCACATTGAGTTTCGTTATGTCCCCCATCTTGCTCTCCCGTACAATAATCTGTGCCTTTTTCCTTCTCCATGTCTTTGCATACATAGTTCCTTCTTCCACTCTTTCTACTTGATGAATGCTTCAAAATACAGCTTAAACTTCCTGCCACCTTCAGAAGTATTCATTCCCCTCCTCCCTTCTACTTAGTAATATATACTCCTCTGTTGTTACAGTTATCGTCTTTTATTAAGATTGAGCTTTTAACATCTGTCTCTTCTACTAGATTAAGCTCTTAGAGAACGGGCTGCACCAAATTTGTTCGTTTTTTAAAATAAGGCTGTTGCTGAGCATTTTTAAAAATACCATGTTGAATGAGTCTAGAGACTTACCGGCAACACCTCTGTGAAATTGGGCATGTGATTTAACTTCTCTGAATAGGGTTTCTTTATCTGAAAAATCAGGGTAATAATTCCTGTTCTGCCAATATCACAGTGCTTTTGTGAAGATCTGAAAAGATAATACATGTGAAATTGCTTTGACAGTGTCTTAAACTGTTACACACTATGTGGAGTATTATAACTTAAAAAGCAGCTGATGCTTGGCTAGGAATATTGGAATAAAATCTGATGACTCAAATATGTAGTTCTCTTTTGTATCCAGTAGTTTATCTCATTTTGTATTATTATTTTAACCATGTATATTTTTGTAAAGAGCTTGTTTTTTTGTGTGTTTTTTTAAGTAGCAATTTATCTGCTGTCAAGAGTAGAGGATACCTTTGGTAATGGGACTATTTAAAAAATACATTTTTTAACATTCCCAAGAGCCTTAGTAGACTTTCTCTCTGAGAAAATACTGTGAATATACACAATACACAAAACTTTCCCCAGCCTGTAAGATTTTATATCTTTAGGGGGAGGAAATAATTTTCAAGAAGATTACACTGTGTCCTTGTCATGCCATCTAGTGATCATAGCACAAAGTATTTTTTAAATTTAGCTTCTTCGTTGTGTTGTACTGTAGGCAAAGCCAATGTGTCTGTTAGTATATAGTAATTCCAGAGTAGTAGAAATTCTGTGTGTGATTTTGGGACTTAACAGTTTCATCTGTTCAAGAGGTGTATGTGAGTTCAACCACTTGATAGGGTTTCAGTTATTCTTACCATGATTTAAGGCTTGTTATACTTACGTATTTGCAACTTAATTAATGGTTTAGAATTTGAGTTTTTTAACTTAAGATAGTGTAAAATATACTCTTAGTAATTGTAACTATAAATTGTTTTTTCCTTGATAGGTGTTAAAAGAGATATTGAGAAGCTTTATGAAGCTGTACCACAGCTCCGTAATGTGTTTAAGATAAAGGACAAAATTGGAGAAGGTAATTTGGGGATATATTTACTATCTTTTTAAGGTTTTTTATTTCTCCTTCTATTTTCCTTGTTTAATCTTGATGTTCATTATTATTATTGAAAAATATACTCTTTTTAAAAATATTAAGACTATGTTTATATTACTATATTAGTAGTAGTAATATAATGGTAACAGCCTTTCTTTTTTCCCTGGAAAGTGACAGAGTAAATATTTACAGTAAAATGAATATTCCTAGTTTAATCTTTATAAAACATTTATGCTATTATAAAAGTATTGATATTTTAATAATATTAATGATAATTAATTACTAAAAATGCAAATTTAAGAGCAAATGGAGAGATTTGATAAAAGGAAGCCAAATCTTTATCCTCGTTCTCTACTGTAGTTAGGTAGAATTGTACATTGAGACATACGTGAAACCTAAGATGGCAAAGTGGAGAAAATACAGTGGCGCGGTATTCATAGGATGGTCAGTATTAACATAAATACCATTGAAAGACTGACCATTGCCCTGGCCAGTGTGGCCTGGTTGGTTGGAGCGTCAGCCTGCGCACCGAAGTGTTGAGAGCTCGATTTCCAGTCGGGGCACGAACCCAGGCTGTGGGTTTGACCCCCATTCGGGGCGTGTACAGGAGCCAGCCGACTGGTGTTTCTCACACATCAGTGTTCCCCTCTCTCTTTCTCCTTCCCTCTCCCTCCCTCTCTCTAGAATCAGTGAAAAACATCCTCAGGTGAAGATTAAATTAAAAAAAAGAAAGAAAGATGCCAATCATTTTGATTTAATGAAGGGCGAGTTGGCAGACAGGTGTGAAGGAAATGAGAAAATAAGAGATAGTGGAGTATGTAGAGAAATGCTTGATATTAAAAAAAACTTCTTATACTTCGTTGCTTTTCACAAGGAAAAATGTCGGAAGAGAAAAGCCAGTCAGTAGGGGCAGAGAAATTAGAAGATGAGATGAGTTGGGATGTAAGATCTTCACATCTTTTCCTTGTCTGTTTTGAACACTGGCTTAGTGTACAAAACTCTTTTCTGGAAAACCATGCTGTCCTTACAGATTAGACTGATAGCTTTCTACTAAATAAGTTTGGGAAATATAGTGTGTGTAGTTCCCTTTTGGTTATTCATGAAGAACACATTAAAGGCTCTGGAAAATTTTTTAGTAAAAAAAAAAAAATCTATTTGTTTTAACTCAGTGTTTCTCAAGTTTAACTGACCGATTTTTTCCCTCTCTAGTTTAATGCTAAATTTAAAAGCCGAGGTGTTTTTGTATTTTTTTCTCCCAAGACTTATCATTTCGATTTCTAACAGACCAGTGTCCAAGTCTTAATAAACTAATTTCAAATGACAATATTATAGAAAAATACTTACCAGAATGGGTCATGGCATTATGCTAAACCAGTCAAACAGATTTACTATAGAGCTTTGGTTAAATTAATATAGTATCCTCTAAAAAACTGAGGACAGTTAAAAATTTATTAAAAATTGAAAATAAGTTGTATTCACAGATGTATTTGCTCTTTGTGTTCATTGGGACTAAAATATTAATGATTATTATAATTTTATGGGTTCTCAACAGTTTTGTGATCTATTTTAGCATTGTTTTATTAACATTTTTAAAAACCAGATATTGAAAAATCTAAAAAATTGTTTTACAGGCACTTTCAGCTCTGTTTATTTGGCCACAGCACAGTTACAAGTAGGACCGGAAGAGAAAATTGCTCTAAAACACTTAATTCCAACAAGTCATCCTATAAGAATTGCAGCTGAACTTCAATGCTTAACAGTGGCTGGGTAGGCAGTTTAAAGACATTTTAATTGAACTGGCTGTATAAATTTTTAAGATTTTTAAGTAGCTATCGAATGGGGATGGTGAGATTTTCCATTAATTAAACATATTCCTCAGTCAAGTGTTTGCAATTTGCTAGTACTTTTCCTCTAACCTTGAAATGGTTAGTTAAATTTATTCTAATTTTTGCAGTGGATTTCCCTTGAGGCTAGGCTTGACTTCAAGTTCTTTTACCACTTTTTTTCTCGTCTTCTTGCCAAATCATAAACCTTGGCATCCATGGTCTAGATATTTTTTTAAATGTGCGGAACTTACATTTTGTATTTCCCCTCCTATAGACAGCCTCATCTCATATTTTATTTTGAGCAACAGAATCAACTGGCATGTCTCTCATTGGTCTGTCTTTGCTAAGTCATTCTTATCAACATATGGAAATGATCTAGTATCTCTTATCCTCCCTGTACTGCCATCTTACTTGTAGCTGCTCCATCATCTCTTTGCTTCCCTTCACAGTCATACTTCTCAAAAATTATCTACATGTGCTGTTTTCACTTCTACACCTTCTTTCACTACACATAAAGTGTGGCAGCTCTTCTCTATGCTAAACTGAAACTCCTTTAGGTGGAATCACCCATGACTTCATTTTGCCAGTCCCTGATGCTTTTCACATGAACTCTAGGCAGTGTTTAACATAATTGATTTGAACCTATCTTCTGATTTCTATACTGCCACGTACTTCTTTTTTTCTTCCTGCTTTGTTTGGCCTTTCATTTTTAATATCCATTGCCAGCTCTTCCTCTTCTACCTGCCGCTAAATGTTGGAGTTACTCAGTGCTTGATTCTGGGCTTTATTTCTCTAGACTGTTCCTAGACTCTAGGATCATGTTCACATGACTAAATACATAGTAATGATTCTGTTAAGTATATATCTAGCCTCAGACCTCTTAACTGCAGATTTATATATATTCACCTGCCTATTTGTCATTTTCTACTTGGGTACCTAATAAACATCTCAGGTGTAATATGCCAAAAACTAAATTTTAATCCATCTTTGCCTACCAAAAAAAAAAATCATATTGCCACAACTGGTTTTCATCTGCCCATCTCAGTGAATGGCACCACTTTCTCTATCCAGTTGGTTAAGCTGGAAACCTAGTACTCATCCTCGGTTTCTCCATTTTTGTTCTAAACCACATTCATCACCAAGTCTTGGCTATTTTACTTCCAAAATATATCTGAAAACTCATCCACGTCTTTCTATTTTCTCAACCAGCTCTTCAGTCCAAGCCTAGGTTACTGTAGTAGCCTGTTTTTCCTTCCCCCCCATAATCCCATGATTTCAAAACAGCCAGAGTGATTTTTAAAATATAAAAATAGGTATGTATATAATATAAATTGGATACTGTTACTTCAACCACTTAAAATCCTTCAGTGGTTTCCCAGGGTACATTGAAGAAGATCTATCCTTGTTTCATGCCTTGTTTCTTCCCACTTCCCTCACCGTGCTCCAGTTTTTTTAGTTCCTCAAATTTGTCTCAAGAGCTTTCTTACCTCAGGACCACTACCCATACTGTTTCTTCATTCAGGAAGAACCCCCACAGTGCTGACTCCTCATCTCAGCAAGAGTGACACCACTCCACCTGGCCAGCGTGGCTCAGGGGTTGAGTGTCGACCCATGAACAAGGAGTTCAAGGTTCGATTCCCAGTCAGGACACATGTCTGGGTTGCAGCTCCATCCCCAGCAGGGGGCGTGTAGGAGGCAGCTGGTCAATGACTCTCATCATTGATGTTTCTCTCCTGCTCTGAAATCAATAAAACATATTTAAAAAAAAGAGTAGGCCCGGCCAGGCGTGGCTCAGTGGTTGAGCAGCGACCTAAGATCCAGGCGATCAGGGTTCTGTTCCCGGTCAGGGCACATGCCCGAGTTTCCGGCTGCAGCCGATCAGTGACTCTCTCAACATTGATGTTTCTATCTCTCTCTCTTCCTCTCTCTGAAATCAATAAAGCTATATTTAAAAATAAATAAAAATAAATAAAATAAAATAAAATAAAATGAGTGGGACCACTTCAAAGAGGTCTACCCTGAGTTAAATTAGATTCTTCTATTTTTTATTGTCACAGCACTTTTGATCTCTAAAAACTCTTATAATCTGTCGTTATTTGTTAACCTTGTTTATTATCTGATAGTAAACTCCATGGCAGAAGTGGTGTTAATTTTAATTCATCATTTCATCCCTGATGTCTAACATAGTGTCTAGCAAGTACGAGTGCCCACTAAATATTTATAGAATGAATGAACAAACTTATTTTTTTGCTTTACCCTTCTATTATAGAAGACAAGTGGATGAGATGGCCTCTCTAAGGCATGTTACATACATTCTTGTCCCTTGAATGAGATCATTTCTTTTCCCACACTTTAAATATCTCTCTCTACCACTTTTTCTTTCCCTGTATGTCAAAACTGCACATTAAAAAAGTATGTGATCTTGCTTCCCATCTAGATTCCACATGGTTTTTCTTCTTTTCTTTGCCAGATAGTTCAGGCAAATTGTCTTGATATTCTAATTCCACCTATTTTCCCTCCTTAAATCCTGTTTTACCTCTTCCTTTCCACTTAAATTGCTCTCTGAAAAATTACCAGTTAATTCCTTGTTGCCAAACTAAAAGCCTTCCCTCTGTTCTTATTCTCTCAGACCTCCATGCTGATCACTCCTTCTTTCAAAACTCCTCACTTTGGTGACATTTCTCTCTGGGCTTTCTGCCCCTTCCTCCTTATTTTGCCCTCCAACCTGAGACTTTCCCGAAGTTTAGTTTTTTCTGCTCTCTAATCATTTTCACTGCAGTATGAATCACTTCTTTGCAAATACTATCACTGACTTTTCACTTCAAATGTAGTCCTGTATCTAGGTATCTTTATCAACATGATGAGGTCTTGGTTTTGAAGCTTCTTTTCCTGATTTCTCTACGTATTTTATTGGTATCCATGTTGTTTAACTTACTTAGGCTCAAAGCCATGGAAATCAACTTTACCCTATTTTCCTCATCTTTTATGAGATGCAGTGTAGCATAGTGGTTAAGAGCATAGATCAGGAGCAGACTGGCTCCACGACATAGTTTAATGAGGACGTTCCTTAACCTCTCTGTGCCTTAACTTCCTTACCTGTAGAAAGGGGGAGGAAATATCACCGTTCTCAGAGGGTTGTGAACATTAAGTGAATTTGTTAATAGATGTGAAGTGTTTAGATCAGAGCTTGGCATATAGTGAATAAATATTGGCTATTTTTAAATTTATTTTTTTTAAGTAACTTATTTTTAATTTTACTATTACCATCTTATCTGCTACTAATCTTGTTAATTCATTCTTACTCATCTTTTCTCATTCTGTCACTTCTCCAATTAAAGCTATAATTATCTCGTATTTGAATTATTATTGTAACTTTATAACTGGTGCTATTTTTGTGTTTTTAAAAAACTTTATATTGTACAAGTCAGTTAAATGTGTATAGTGTCCTATATAATGATAGTTTTAAATTAGTCTTCTAGCATTATTTATGCATTGCTAAAATTGCATTTAAAAAAAATAGGCATAAAGTTGCAGTTTATTTGACCTTTCCTCTAAAGTTCACTGTGCATTTTTCCACTAGGGGGCAAGACAATGTCATGGGAGTTAAATACTGCTTTAGGAAAAATGATCATGTGGTTATTGCTATGCCATATCTGGAGCATGAGTCCTTTTTGGTAGGTTTTGATATTTCTTAAATTTTTATTAACTAAATATTTAATTTTTAAAAATTTATGACCTTATGTATAACTTTATTTTAGGATATCTTGAATTCTCTTTCCTTTCAAGAAGTACGGGAATATATGTTTAATCTTTTCAAAGCTTTGAAACGCATTCATCAGTTTGGTATTGTTCACCGTGATGTTAAGCCCAGCAATTTTTTATATAATAGGTGCCTGAAAAAGTAAGTATGGAAAGTTACCAGAAAATATTTACACGTGAATGAATTTGTGCTATGAGATCTATCTCCTAGACATAGAACAACCATGCACACAGATTTTGCCTGTTTCAGACTTTCATTGTGATCAGGGAACGGAAATACAGTGAAGAAGAAAAAATTACATTAATAAAGCAGTGTACATCATTAGATGTTCCATGGCTCTCAGCTCAAAAAAACTTAGAAAGGGTCTAGTCCTTTTTGACCTTACACATTTCTCTTTTATCTCTGGGCTTTATTTTTCTTTTCTAGTAAATGAAGGGATTGGACCACATGATAGCCAATTTCCTGCTTCAGCACTAAGTTTTGTGTTTGTTTATATTTTTATGCTGATTATATGTATATATAGAGGCATTGAAAACTTAAATATTGTTGTTCATTCAATGGATCATATTAAGTGTGATAATGAGAATAGAACTATAAATTTTTTCCTTGGGCCTTTCAACTGAGTTTTCTCTTTAATTTTCTGTAATTAAATCAGATTTTAAAACTCTGATTTTAATCTTTCTTTTAAACTTGTTTATTTAAAAATTACTTGCTATGTGACATCTCTGGCACCATCCGAGAAGAAAGGATTGTGTTATATCCTTCATTCCTTGTCAAGCCACTGGAAAAGGGGGATAAAGGGGTGTGTGTGTGTGAGAGTTATCTTTCCTTACTTTTCAATCCTAGTTAGCTATTAAATCCTTGTCTGTAAAACTTATTTTTCTTTTTTTCAAGAATGTTATAAATTCTTAATTGGTCACCAAAAAAATTACAGTTTCTGTATGAATATAGTTTGAGCACACTATGATGTTACTAAGCTTTAATTGTTACAGAGAACTAAAAACTTAACTTTGTTTCTTAGGTACGCCTTGGTAGACTTTGGTTTGGCCCAAGGAACCCATGATACGAAAATAGAGCTTCTCAAATTTGTCCAGTCTGAAAATCAGCAGGAAAGTCGTTCACAAAATAAATCCCATGTAATGACCGGAAACAAGATTTCATTGAGTGGCCCAGCAGCACCTAGGGAGCTGGATCAGCAGCCCACCACAAAAACTTCTGTTAAAAGGCCCTACACACATACTCAAATTCAGATTAAAGAAGGAAAAGTTGGAAAGGTTCTACCTCTTTTATTTCTTTACTTGTTTAAAAATATGTGGTTTTTTTAAAAATTGATTTTAGAGAGGAGATGGGCAGGGTAGAGAGAGGAACTTCGATTGGCTGCCTCCTGCACACCCCTGCGGAACCCGCAACCATGGCAGGTGCCCTGACTGGGAATTGAACCAGCAACCTCTCAGTGCATGGGACGATGCTCAGTCAACTGAGCCACACTGGCCAGGGCTACCTCTTTTATTTCTTAAGTAATAACATGGTTTTAGAAATGTACTCCTTCATCCAACAGAGGGAAATATAATAGTAGGATAATACTTGTAATTTAAAATAATTTTTTGCATTTGTTACATATCCAATTGGTTAGATTTTTACTAAGATTTGTAATGGCTTGTTTTCCTATTTTAAAACTGAAGTTTACATGGTAGATTTATAATGTCGTTGCCATTACAATTACATTATATAACAAATAAAAAATAATAAGTTTTTCCTGCATGTTTTAAAATTCAGATTATTTTTTTTATAAGAAAGCTTAGTTACAGGGGGAAAATTCAGAAGTGTCTATCTCCATTTTAGCTGCACTGCCAAATGTAACATCCATGCAGGTGGTTTTGAATTTTTTTAGTTATATATATTTGTGTACTATGATAACATTGTACGGGTGTTAAGAGTTCTGTCTAGACTATTTTCTCCTTTCACAGAAGTGTTTTGGTGCCTGAGAATGACTTGGATGCAGCTGTTTTTATTTCATGTCACTTAACTCTTTCAAAACTATGGCAGAGTACAGCTGGCAGAAAGTGTTACAGATATGATCCTTATTTTCCTTGTTTTTGTTGGTATTGTAGGATGGATCTGTAGGCCTTTCTGTCCAGCGCTCTGTTTTTGGAGAAAGAAATTTCAATATACACAGCTCCATTTCACATGAGAGCCCTGCAGTGAAAGTAAGTAATGTAGCTTATTAGTGCAATCAGATAGTCGTACACTGAAGATAATTTAGAGAATGGCTACATCAGCATTAATTATCAGGAAGTTTTTAAAAGTAGAGTTTTACTTTGGCAGAAGGTATTACTTGCTTTGTGTATCTAGTCAACACTTTTATTTTCTTCAGTTTTTTTCTGAACTTTCCTGGTGGAATTTTTCATTTGCTGACTGTTGCTCTTTCTCTAAAGCAACATGTGGATTATTAAGGCCTTTCCTTCACTGACTAGAATGTGAGCTCCCAACAGCTAACACATTTCTGACACAGTTGGTAGCATAAAGATGTTTGTAAAATTGTCACAAATGTTAAATGGTTTTAAATTGACTTAAGATATTCTGTCACAGCTAGCATGAGCAACAAATTAAAACTCTGAGTTTAGCCAGTATAATGGTGCAGTTTACAGTTCTGAAATGGAGTTAGACACTGGAACATACCTTTTATATTTTTGTAACATATCAGGAGAAGTTCAAATAAAGTAGAAGTCAGATATTTACCAAACTAGTACTAATCAGTAAATTTTAATAAGTTTATTCAACAGAAAAACCTAAAAGACCTTAAATGTTTTAATAGACAACTATTTGTGTATAATCCAATAGCACATTCAGCAGTTTGAAAAGTTACCCATTTTACCCATTGAAGGCATCAAGTTAAATATCATGAAAATAGAAAATGCAACTTTTCTTTTACAGCTTATGAAGCAGTCAAAGACTGTGGATGTACTTTGCAGAAAGTTAGCAACAAAAAAGAAGGCTGTTTCTACAAAAGTTCCAAATAGTGGTGTGATGAAGAAAATTCCCAGTTCTTGCCCAGCCAGCCTGACCTGTGACTGTTATGCAACAGATAAAGTTTGCAGTATTTGCCTTTCAAGGTAACGTGTTCTGACAGTGCTGTAAAATCACCAACATGGTGCTAGACAGGATTAGAAATTGCATCGTTTTTGTTAGACATTTGATTCAGTGAGTGAAAGAGAGCAGCGCAGATCTGTGAACTACGTGGGCACTGATGGAGAACAGTACCTTGAAGAGCAAATGATAACGATTGTCATGTGTTTCCTTCCTTCATTCCTGCTGATGTAGAATAACCAGAAACAAATACAAGAGCTCTTCCCTCACTCCCATCCCCAGCTCTTTGTCGCGTAAATTTTCCTTTTCCTTTGGGACTCGGCTTTTTTGAGCCTTCCCTGATTAACTGAATAAATGAATTAAGTGTATGAGTGAATAAGTGTATTACTCCAAGCAGAAATAAATATTCATACCTCTGAATTCCTTATTGAATTCTATTTTTTCTATTGTAGCTCTTACCGTCTACCTCTTTTTACCCTAAAACCTTTCTGCAGTAAGGCCTGGGAACTAGTAGAGATGGTGAAGGATCCATGGCAGCAAAATTTAGGATTTTCATCACATTAAATTATCATTTGCTTTATAACTTTTATTTATATAGATGTCAGTGTAGAATATACTTTGAGCTAAATTAATAAATGTTATTTTTTGGTCTTAAATAACTAAACTTTAACATAACTAGAAAACTCTTATTTCATTATCATAAGGCGGCAGCAGGTTGCACCTAGGGCAGGTACACCGGGATTCAGAGCACCAGAGGTCTTGACAAAGTGCCCCAATCAAACTACAGGTATGTTGCACTAAAAATACAGAACCTAATTAAAATCGGTTGCCCCAAGTATATTTTATTTTATGATCTTACGTATTTATGACTAATATTTGAGCTCTTCTGTTTTTAATTGAATTACATAAGTGGTTATAGCAGTTCGTTATTCCCATTTTTAAAGATATGACTATAATATCAGTTCTCCACCTTTTGGCTAAGATCAAGTTTAGTATCTGTTTTTATCAGTTTAAAGATAATACAATTTTTAAAAATTTATTTTTGTTATTAACACTCACCCTAGGATATTTTTTCCATTGGTTTTTAGAGAGGGAGGGGAAGGGAGGGAGAGAGAGAGAAAGAAAAACAGATGTTAGAGAGACACATCAATTGGTTGCTTCCCGCATGAGCCCCAACCGGGACCAGGGATCGAACCTGCAACCCGGGCACATTCCCTTGATGAAGAATCAAACCTGTGACCCTTCAGTGTGCGGGCTGATGCTCTAACCCTGTGCCACAACTCCCCAGGGCAAGATAATATTTACGAAGGTTTCTAATCTTAGTGTGTTTTTTTTTGTTGTTTTTTTTTTTAATATATCTTTATTGATTTCAGAGAGAGGAAAGGAGAGGGAGAGAGCGAGAGATAGAAACATCAATGATGAGTCATTGATCAAGCCCATAACTGGGGCATGTGCCCTGACCGGGAATCGAACCCTGATCCCCTGGATCCTAGGTCGACGCTCAGCTGCGGAGCCACCCACGCCTGGCTGGGCACTGTGTGTTTTTTTTTTAAAAACTAATTTTTTAATAGCTCACATTTTGCTTATTTATTTACAAGATAATTTTACCAGGAGTTTTGTTACCGTCTTTGTGGGGAACTAAATTGTGTTTAGTAGCCTTTACTAACTTAGGACTTGCAGAATTTTACCTATTTGCCTGATATCTCGAAAGTTTTCTGTGATGCACATATGATTGTGTAGTTCATTAAAATTATATTTTATTGTGAAAACAATGAAATAGCATTAAAAAGATTTTTGACAAATAAGAAAGTTGTCATTGAACTGGAACCCAGAAACAGCTTATTGAACAGATGAATCCTACCATTTGCTTGGATTATGGACGTTAAAGAAAAGCGTCCATTCATTGTGTGTATTCTGTGCTTGCTAATGATATAAAAAAAGAATGAAACTATCTGCTTATGCTCTAGTCAGGACACACTCTCAAATAATTATAAAATAACCCAGTGAGTATGGTTATAAAACTTGATATAAGATATTTTAGGGATACCTGACTATCCTACCTGAAGGGATTTTGGAAGAAAGTTTATGAAGAGAGAACCCCTGAGGAGACATTGTAAATTGGGATGGGGGTTGGCCCTGAGGCATGAACAGAGGAACTCAACAAACAGCATGGTGTAGTCATACAGGAAACAAAAGTTTAGTGTAGTTAGAATGTAAGATGGAAGTTGAGGAATGGTGAGAAACCTGTGAAGAGGTAGACAAGGTCAGATCACACTTGTTAAATGGCTTGGACTGCATCCTTTAGGTGTTAGAAAGTTATGAAGGGAATGAGATGGTAATAATTTTTTTAGGTGGATTTTCTGTCATGTGTGCAGAGAGGATAGATTTTGGAGAGTGGGGGCCTGCCGTGGTCCAGGTGAGAGACTGAAAGCCTGAATGAGGGCATTAGTAATAGGAATGAAAAGAAAAGTGCAGGAGGGGAGAGGCAGAGCTTGGTGAACAAATGGATGTGGGATTTGGGTGTGGGAGGTGCGGGGAAAGGCATTCAGGATGTTTATCATTCCTAGCCCGGGAGACTTGGAATAGTGCTAGTAACCGAGTGACGAATAAAGAGGAAGCGGCTGATTTACACGGGAAAATAAGGTTGGGGTGTTAATTGGTTTGAGATATTTTTAGGACATTCAGATAGAGATGTCCAACAGAATAAAAGTAAGTATTAAGCTCAGGAAGCCTGGTTTGGAAATTCCGTTGAATGTCATCGTTGTATAAATGGTAGTTGAAGCCATGAAATGGATGGGCCAATAAGGGAAAGTGGAAGGGGGAAGAGGCTGGAGCTCTGGGGAACCTCAGTACTTAAGGCTTGGAGAAAACTCTGACGGAGCAGGCAGAGGTACCAGGGGAACCAAGAAAAGCAGATAGTACAGCAGCCAAGGGAACAGAGAGCTAATTTGGTGATACTTGGAGGTCAACAATTAGGAGAGAAGATGTCCCTAAAAGATGTTTCTGAACATGAGGCTGAGCAGTTCTTAATTTTAACTGCCAGAATTCTGGAGAATCAAGTTTCTGTAGTGAAAGTTAGGGTTAGCACCTGGCTGAAGAAGAGCTACTACTATTCAGTACTTTTCACTAAAATGAACCACTTTTACTACTATGGTGTATAATTTTTGAGGAGCATCTAGATTTCCCCCCACATAGCTATTTTTGGATTTCTTTTGGCCTTCTAAAATGTGCATTTACTTAGTGTTTTCTAATGATGAAATTCCTTTTAAATTTACCAAGAATGTTGCTAAAGAAAAACACACACATTATATTGTGCATTAAAGATATTAGATGAGAGATTCTCAATCTTGAAATTACATTAAAAGCATCTGGAGAACTTTTAAAAAATATATTGATGCCTGAGCCCTATTCCAGAACAGTTAAATCAGAGTCTCAGAGGGATTGGGCCTGGGCATCAGAATTTTTAAAGCTCTCAAGATGATTTGAATGTATTTGGTTGAGAACTGATGTAGATGATAAAATTATAGATTTGGAAATTTTTTAAAAGTTTGTTTTCTGTTACAGCAATTGACATGTGGTCTGCAGGTGTCATATTTCTTTCTTTGCTCAGTGGACGATACCCATTTTATAAAGCAAGTGATGATTTAACTGCCTTGGCTCAAATTATGACAATTCGTGGATCCAGAGAAACTATCCAGGCTGCTAAAACTTTTGGTAAGCAGTTTTATATTATTGAACAAAACATATGCCTTTGATTTTCTTCTACAAATTACTTAATAAGTTATTATGAAATTCCCATTAAAAATAAACATTTTGTATTCATAAAGTTCTTGTTAGATAGAAAATTTCTCAGATGCTTAAAAATTATTGCATTGTGTAGGAAAATTTTTCATCTCTTCTAATATTTAATCTTATTAAGCACAAAGTGCTACACTTTTCCAATATTTAAAGTTTAACTCTATCAACTTAAATAAAAGAATAAGGGAAATCTTAAGTCCCTGTAGTTGTGGTTTGACTTTATTACATAAATATTTTTAATAATATTTTTAAAGTGTGTTTATTGTGCATTTATTAAGCAGGTGCTTTGGGACCTGCCTTAAATGATCTATACTAATGATCTAGACTAAATGGTCTATACTAATAAGTAAAAGTTAATTATAATAGTGTAATAAGGACAACAGAAAGGACAATAGTAGAATGTGTGTTAGTTGTCAGGTGTCTTAAGGTTAGTGTAGCAGAGAAGAAAATGAACAGAACACCTTTACTGATGTATTATTGTAAGCACATATTGGACATGGGATATCATTCGTTAGCTACACAAAGTTCTTGGAGTTTCAGACTGGGAGATACAGTGTACATCACAGGGCACCTGAGAATTATCTCAGCCTTGCTCTAGGCAAACATTTGAACTCTGATGCCCACCTTGTGTTTACTCTCCACACACATTATGTTAATACTTTCCAAAGTGAATGGGTGTGATTAAGTCAGCATGTTACCATACAATATAAAACACCCCTTCGGGACAATTTCAGTCAACCCACTTCAAGAGTCAGTTGGCTGCCCTGTGCCCAGCCTGAGGATCAATGGGTCTTTTGTGTGTGTGTTTTTTGGGGGGGGCGGCATTTTTGGACATTCAAATTCATTCAGCTTTATTAAGGAAAATAATAGTTCAGACATAGCCTAAATGAAGCATGATAAACCCACTGTGTGAACATTTGTCAAAATACACATGACACATTCAAGAAGTGTTCCTGTTCCTCTCCCTTGCACTCTCTCTGAAAAGCAATGGAAAAAATTTCCTCAGCTGAGGATTAAAATTATATATATATTGCTATGTAGCACTTGTCACAGTTTTGTTAGTATGCCTTCTATAGTTATATCAAATGTAGTCAAATCTTACTGTAACTTTTGAATACAGAACTCAAAACTTTAGCCTCCACAACTGTGTTATTCTTTATGATTCAAAGAAATGACTTGCCTAAGATTAGCAGTGAGAATCCTTCTAATTCTCTTGTGTGTAACCTGCCCCACTGTCCTCAGCCATTAGACTGGGCCCCATGATAGATTGTCATTTAAGTGCCTGTTGAGTTGTGTCGAATAAATTCAAAAGACAAAATATTTTTTATTGACTGGCTGTATCAGTTTAAATTGTTTTCCCTGATTAATAAGTCATCTCTTTGCATATATATATAAAAATAATTTAGGCATATTGTATAACTTGGGGAGGTGCTGTAACACACAGCATTATTTCATGACTTCAGAGTAGCCTATAAATTAAGGAATAAAACTATATGACTATTCTCCTCTGGCTATACTTTTCTAGAGAGAACAGGAATGATAAAATAGAATTAAAAGTAAAACAGGCTCTGCCGGCATGGCTCAGCAGTTGAGCATCGGCCTAGGATCCAGGAGATCGAGGTTCGATTCCCGGTCAGGGCACATGCCCAGGTTGCGGGCTCAGTCCCCAGTAAGGGGCATGCAGGAGGCAGCCAGTCAATGATGACTCTTTCATCATTGGTGTTTTTCTATCTCTCTCCCTCTCCTTTCCTCTCTGAAATCAATAAAGATATATATATATTTTTAAAAGTAAAAAAGGATTGGCATGTTGTATCCTCAACCAACTTAGTTTTTGGTAATTTGTTTCCTTTGTCTCCTCTCTGCCTGCCATGCCACCCCTCCTTTTTTCCCTGCCTTAGTACACCAGTCCTGTAGTTAGAATGTGTAAAAATAATTTTGTATTATCCAGAGCTAGGTTAATTAATTGCTTTAACAATCCACATTGTTAACAAATACCACAGAAAGGAATCCATATGCTATGGTACTCATTTTTTTAGAGCCACATTTCTGTTTAATAAGGAAATATAAGGCCAAAAAAACCCACACCATTTTGTATTCATTCATTCAGAAACATTTATTGGGACTTTATGTATGCCAGCTATTATTGTTGGATCTCTGTTCTCATAGAGTTTAAATTCTAGAGGAGGAGGACAAAATAAATATGCACTGTCATATAGATCAGTAGTATTGAGAAAGATAAAAGGGGAAAGGGAGTGAAGGGGGCTCGGCTATTTTGGATAGGTTGGTCGAGGACAGCATCTATAAGAAGGTAATATTTGAACAGTGACATGAGAGGCTGAATAATGCCTTTTGGTCCAATCCAACAGGCATTAGTTGAGAATCTGGTGTATACCAAACATTGTCTAGGTTTGGGGGAATCAAAAATAAGTGAGATAGTCCTATTTTCAAAGAGCTCATAGTCTAGTAAGCGAGATAGACATATATTTATCAGTTACAACACAAGATAGCAAAGTAATAGGAAATTTTCACAGGATTCAACAGAAGTTTAGAATGATCAACTCTCTGAGAGTGTCAGGCCTCGCAGAGGTTACCCTGGGCACATGGGGGAGGGCAGGGCATCCTGGCCAAGATAGGAACCATGTAGTCAAAGTCATATAGAAGCTGCAGTTGATTAAAGATTACAGAAGGATATGATGAAGCTGGAGAAGTTAGCAGTCCTTACTAAGTCCTTAGTAAGTCACTGCTTACTACTTACTATCTCCCACTTTATGATTTGACCTTCAGCTCTGTAGTGCAAAACACATCTTAAAATAGCATGTGGTGTTCTGTCTCATACTGTGTGTAAATATATCCTCAAAGCAGTGGTTGGACTTGCATGTCTCTTGTGAGAGAAGCTTCTGGTTTATTCAAATAATATAAAATATATGTGATTTTTCTCTTTCAGGCAAGTCAATATTGTGTAGCAAAGAAGTCCCAGCACAAGACTTGAGAAAACTCTGTGAGAAGCTCAAAGGCATAGATGCTAACACTTCCAAATTAGCAAGTGATATACAAGAGCCTACTTCTCATGACCCAACTTTTCCAGAGAAGACTGACCATAAAGCTCCTTACCTCATACAGACACCTCAAGCACAGCACTCAGGGAATTCATTGTATAAAGGGAACAGAAATGGCTGTGGGGGCTGTTTTGATGCATACACTACCAACCTAGAAGGCTGGGACAACGTCCCTGATGAAGCTTACGACCTGCTTGATAGACTTCTGGATCTAAATCCAGCTTCAAGAATAACAGCAGAAGCAGCTTTGTTGCACCCTTTTTTTAAAGATATGAATTTGTGATTATTTAGTTCTTCATTTAATATTCCCTGTTGGGTATTGTGAGGTGGGGTAAGAGAGTTCTTTGTAGAGCCATAAGTTCTTGGTTAGAGACCAGGACAGGATGAATAATTTATTTAAAAATTTTAGTATTTGCTCTCGGCAGATTATAAAATATGGATTAAGATTATTTAAATTGCCTGCGTTAGTTTTTGTACTAACAGCATGATCTTTGACTTAGATCTACCCAAGGAGAATCAGCTTTTTAGTTTCCCTAATTACTTGTCATTGCCATGTACATAAAAAGGAGCAGTTTTAGCCTTGTACCTTGGGGTTCAGGGTTCAAGTCTTAAAATTAATGGATGTATTAGGGATTAAATGAGTCAAAAGACTTAATTGGTTTCTTCAGACTGTGAGCTGTGTGTACTTTTGGGAAACTCAACCTGGTGCTGGTGCTCTAACCGTTCTGTGGGTTAAGACACTTTCCTCTGCTAGAGGCATATAGTGTACCTTTTGTGAACACTAAAACAATTAATGAGAAAATGTTTAGGTGGGATATCACTTAACATTGAATTTATCCATTTAAAAAAGTATTCTGTGAAAGCATTTATTGTGTGAATCGTCATTTTTTAAAAATAGTTTCTCTCTTGATTTTTTTGCCGCCTCTACCCCCACTTCACACATTCTCCTTGGAAATTATATGGTGCTTTCCAGAAAGGTTCTGGGCGCTTTGTTAAATATTGTATATGTTTACAGTTGGAAACTTAAAATAATGCATATGCTGGTTGATACAGGGAAGCCACAGGACCAAAGTGAATATTGATAGTCCAAAATTCTTTTTCTCTCAATGTGTGTGCTTTTTTTTAACACCATCTTAAGTATAATTAGGTGGCTGCTAAAAGGAAGAGTGAACACAGAATTGAGAATATTACCAGAGGTTGTTCATCTGCCTAGAGCCGTCCAGATCTCTCTATTCTGTGTTCACTAAGTTGCTCCTGCTAAGAGAAGGTTGGTTACTGAGTCTTGACTGGGGTGGGAAGAGAGAGAATGAAGTAGGCAAAGTAGAGAAGAACCAGAGAGAGGTTTATGTTCGACTATATAATGTACTATCAGTGGCAGCGTAAGGACTCTGGGAAGTGAGTCGGGATGTGGATTTGTCGAGAAGTTTCCCATTGCTAGAAGTCACAGTATAGAACCAGCTTAGGGACATACAACTTTCACTGTATTTTGAACATTGGAGTCAGTACGTCTACCTGCACTATTTGGTAAGTATAGTGTGTGTGTGTGTGTGTGTGTGTGTGTGTGTGTGTGTGTGTGTACCATTACCATTGATCGCTCTGTTTTATGCTGTCATCTTTAAAAGAAAAAACTTGAATTTTTTTGAATTTGTATGTTTAATAAAGTTATCCTTTTATATATTTTATGTCAGTCTACTGATTTGAAAAATACCTTAAAAAAAAAAAAAAAGAATGACCACTGGGAGTATTTTTCCTTTGAGATGGATGAATGCTCTCCAGCAAATAGTAGGTAGTAGATTAAAAAAAAACAAAACGTTCCCTGGCTTAAGTAATACTATATGAAAGAAGTAGATTTTTTTTTATTAGAAAAGTGCTCATTGACTTCACTTACAGGATATTTTTCACAAATAGTAAAGTGTTTCAGTAACTAAAATGAAGTCTTAGCTAAAAAAAATTTATTAATGTGACTCAGTCAAGTGAACATATTCTCAGAAAATTAACAGGAAGAAAAATTTACCAGAAGTACAGGAAGGAGACATTCTCTAAGAAAGTTTAATATCCAGGGCTTTCAACTTTCCATTAATGTCAGTTTTAGCATAGAACTTGGCTCATGTGCAGGGGGAAGTTAGGGAGCTAGTGCTTTAAAAGATACCCAGTGCTACAAATTGGTTGTCAGGGAATTTCAGTCCCAGTAGAGAAGGTCGCTTCAGCTTGGGGTGCTATGTAGATAGAAGCTTCCATATGCATATTCTTAAGGTTTTTCCAGCCCATTGAACACCATTTTATAATGGCAGAGATCTCCCTAAAAGATTTTAATTAGGCAAAATAGCCATTTTTAGGGAAAGATTAAGAAGTAGTGCCATTTCCTGTTATGGAAGTTACCAGAATATTCAGCTATTTTTCACTTGCAGTTTTTTAGTAATCTTATTGCTCAAACTCTTGAGATAAAATGGTTAAGGGTGTTTTCATTTTAAAAGCCTTAGACATTTGCCCGGCCTGGCGTGGCTCAGCGGTTGAGCACTGGCCTAGGATCCAGGAGATCACGGTTCGATGCCCAGTCAGGGCACATGCCGGGGTTGTGGGCTCGATCCCCAGTTGGGCGCGTGCAGGAGGCAGCTGATCAATGACTCATCATCGATGTTTCTCTCTCTCGCCCTCTCCTTTCCTCTCTGAAATCAATAAAGATACATTTTTTTAAAAAAGTCTTAGACATTGAGAACTATTACTATAACGAGCTACAAATACTGGTTTTCAAAACGGGCTACAGCTCTCTAGCTTTCCCCCCCACTTATTATTATTTATTGGCTTCAGATATACAGCTGAATGGTTAGACAATCATACTTTACGTAGTGTTCCCCTCAATATTTCCAGTTCCCTATCTTGCATTTTTAATGAAATGTTTCCTTTTAAGGAAATGATTGTAGTTGTCTTAGTGACCTGAATAAAAATGTGGCTCAAGAATGGTTATTCCAAAGAATTAAACTTAGTTTATTTCGAAATCAGAACAAAAGTCATCAAGTGATGTTAATCTCTTACATTTCTGGCATCTGCATTTTGGGAATAAAATCCTGTTACAGATGTCAGAATATTGATTGCATAAAATCTTGAAACCCACAAAACTCGCAGGTTCATATCTTAGTAATTTCTGCTGTTTATGTAATTTCAGCCCTACTAGTCACCAAAAAGTTATTTATCATAAACTGTGGCCAAATTTGGCTGGTAATGCTGTCTGCCTGTGTCTGCAGATATATTGTTTCCGCCTACACTTGTGTGTGCTGTCCGTGGTCTAAAAAACACTACCACCAGGCAGAAACGTCATCTCTTCAGATTTTTTCCTATGTTCTTAGAACTGATGTTGCTGCATCCTAATTTTGTCAAACTGTGTTTGAACTGTTTGTCTTTCTTGAAAGGTGGTTATTATCACCCATGTACTAGATAAGTAATCAGAAGTAGTTAATCCTGTGTCAAATTACAGAAAGATTTTTCAACAGAGTAACCACAGAGGTCAGTGCTAAGGCAAGTATTTAGTAAATAATTACATTTTAGATATCTAAAGTGAAAAGGCATGATCTTAGGAAAGCAATTGGGCGAGAAAATTATAAAGATGAAGTTTAGAAAAGCGATTGCAAAATAGTTTGAACTCAGTTTGAAATACTAATTTTTTTCTCACTAGAACAAAGTGAACTAAAAGAATACATTGTCCTTGATGTCTGTTTTGAAAGCTTTAAAAATTTAACAAAATAATAGACGGAAAAGAATTCAAAAGGTATAAGCAAAAACTTATTTGGCAAGTGTGTACATAGCTTTCATACAGCGAGAAAGATGACTAGAAAACAGATGTCATTGGTTTAGAATTTCGATTTAAGCATGCACCATGCAGGAAATGTCCTTTTAAATCGAACACGATATGCTGTCCGAGCCCTGAAGCAGATTCCATCTTGTACTCCACCGAAGCAAATCTTTGAGGAGAGTAACAGATTTAGCACAAGAAAATTTAATGCCATCTTATGAAGGCAAATTGAGAATAAATAGCTTCTAGATTCATCTCTAGTTCTAGATTTAGAGGAGGCCAGTATTACTCACTCTAGTCAGGAACCAGAGGTGAGTCAGGGATGGGCTTTGACTGGGGGCTGGGGGGGGCGGGTAGTAAAAAATAAAAAGCCATCTGGCCATTTCTTTCTAATCAGAATTTTTGCATATGTTCCTTATCTACATTCTATGGGTTTTTATGTGTTTATTTAATTATGTTTTTACCTTTTGTGTAAATTCCTTCGGTAACTTCTCTGACGATTGTAGCATATGATCTACAAATGACTCCAACTAGGACAAGAGCAAGACAGTAAATCAGAAACAGATGTGTGGCTCTGTAGCCTCACGGCACTTTTTTAGCTCTGCCCATAAGCAAAGGGAGCGGGAGGCTGGGGAATCCAGCCACTTCTGAGTTTTTCTAGACACTCATCTTAATGTTTTACCCAGTAGACGTTTATTTCTTCTGGCATGTTGCTGGTCTTCCTACACTCAAATGTTCTGATTGAAAACAAAACCAGTCCCTCTGTATTTGTGTGTACATAAGTAATCTTTAGACAAGTATGAGCAGTGCTCCTTTACACTTTTCCTCGAGGTTTCTGATCTGAATGCCTGGTATTCTGTGTGTCCTTTATGTCATTTTAAGTTCTTCTTTTAAAACTCCATAGATAAATGTCCATATCAAATGTGGTCTCCTCATAAAAAAGGAAACATCACTTTTTTTTTTTTAGGAGAATAGTTTATTGATTTTTAGAGAGAGAGGAAGGGAGAGGGAGAGAGAGTGGAACATCTGTCAGCTACCTCCTGCACGCCTACCAGAGACTAAATCCGAAATCTGGGCTTGTGTCTTGATCTGGAATCGAACCAGCAACCTTTCTGCCCAACCAAATGAGCCACACATGTGGGGCTCGTTAATCACTTTTATGTGTAAAAATAAACACTAGTGTCTTCCATCTCTGTTGTGTATTATAAGGAAGCCTCTTTCATGGTTGTTCCTATACAGTGTGACTAGACTAGTGCCTGGAGTTTATTGAGTGGGTGTTCAAAGAATATTCATTGATTGAATTCACTTAAGTCACATTTAATTAATTTACTTTCTCGGCAAGATATTAAGCCAAAAACTCTTAATAAGGGTGCCTATTTTCCTACGTCTGATACAATTTATTTGGTAGGGAGTGACACTAAATGTTAAGAAAAATGAAATGATTCATACCTTTTTACACAATCTCTTTCCTGTAGACAGTCTCCTTCCTCCCTCAACCCGCCCCCCATCCCTGCCCAATAAATACGTAATTTAAATGAAGGCAAGATTTTGATGCCAGGCTTTAGATTCAGAATAGCCCTAACGAGGTCTTTCTTTGGACTTTTAGTTGCCATTACCTACAATGCCTTTCCCTCCAATCTGTGTATCCCTGATCACTCCAGTCCAAATAATCATTTCCTTGATTTCCTATACCCAGATTATAAAATTCTAGAAGGTAGAGACTTTTATGCATAGACCTCACCCCCCAACCCCAACACACACACATTTCCTATCTCCACATGAGAAACAAGTGCTTAGTTAAAACCAGTTTGACCACGAATCTGACACCAGAGGAAATTTCCAAACCTCATCAGAATAATCCCAGCCTAAGGACAGCCCCCTTTTAAACATCTACAGGATTATACGATTTTCCCTGGGTAGTCTTGTTTTAAGATTTCCCAGATCCCCACCTCCATCCCAGCCATATCAGTTCTAGTTTCTCTCCACTTCAGTTTGCTGGTTCTCCATTCCCATTGCTTTGACTCTGGAGACAAAACAGCTGGTGAACATTTCGTCTGTAATAACCCTTAATATCCTTGTATAAGAGGCAAGTGAGCAAAAATTTCATAATTATTATAATCATTCTTTTAGCTCCTACTATGTGCTAAGCATCATAAAAATCAAATCCATTTGTTTTAAGGATTTATAAGTATGTTAAAATACTATGGGAAAGCATTATATACACACTCTATTATGCTTTGCTACTCGGATTCATTTTCATACATGCATTCATTTTCACCTATTCATCTTGGATTTTTCTGAGACAGCTTCAGTTCCACAAATGTCAGTCCTCATCAATGTGTTCTGAGAATTTCAACATTTCTGCACCCAAATTGTGTTTCTAAGAATGCCTCTCTTAACCAGAAGTAGTGTGAAATTGTTAGAAATGTGTTCCAGATTTTTAGCTTTGAGAATATGTCCATTTAGCACGTGGCACTTAAGGATCTCTCTGCTTTGGGAACCAGCTAATGTGTTCCCAAACATCGAGTAAAGTGGAGAGTCTTGCAATGTCTTTTGAGCTGCATGGAGCCGTAAGTATTTTCACTGAGGTCCTCACATTTAAAAATATAGAAGTAACAACTGAGGAACTAATGCCCCTTACCCTTTGTTGGTTACAAATAAATCCTGACTACAGGCAGCACAAAAGTCAGCTAAGTCTAGCTCTTCCCTTTACTGTGCATTTTGGTTTCTTCAGCTGTAAAATGAGGTTTGTATGCCTATCTCATTGTTTGGAGGAATAAGTGAGAGCATGCTCCCTAATTATAATGTAGACACAGTACATAATTATTTTTCTTCTTTCTTCCTCCAGTTTCCCTTTATTTACCCCCTCCAGGGAGCATTGCCTGAGAATATTCT